TGCTTCTCCCTCTCCCACTCCCCCTGCTTGTGTTCCCTCTCTTGCTGTGTCTCTCTCTGTCAAATAAATAAATAAAATCTTTAAAAAAAAATAAAATAAAAATAAAAACACATATCCCACCCTCCCAAATTAACTGAACTCAACAACTCTGCCCCCAAGGTTCTTTACCTCACCCATAGCTTTCCCCCCAAAAGGGCAAACTTTGGATTGGAATTTGGGGATCCGTTCACAAGTTTATAAAAGTTGGCCCGCAATGACGTTATGGTAAAACCATTCCATACAGAGAGAATGCTGGAAATGGACAGTGTCCCAGGACGGCCCTTTCCCGGGTGCATGCAGAATGACCGCATACCCAGGGAGAGTGTGTGCCCCATGCTCGGACAGGGCATCTCTGTCTACTCACAGAGAGAGACACTTCCCAAACTGGGCCTAAAACAGAATAACCGCCTCATGTGGACACTGCTGACTTCCTCTTCCCTTTGCACCCCCCCATCAAGAATAAGTTGTTTTTTTTTTTTTTTCCTATTTAATCAACTCAGTATAGAATAGTAATTATCTACCTTGGCTTCAATGCACCCCAAAGTTATCAGCAACAACCTCTTGGGATCGGGTTATTCCAAAAGACATGCATTCATTTTACTTCACCTTAGTTAAAAAGACATTATGCTACAAAGCAGTCTTAGATGAGGAAATAATATGCCATGAAACCAAACTAACAAGCAAAGGGGGCTGGGAGTGTAGAATGTTAGCCACTGTCAGTGTAGGGGAAGGTAGGAGGGGTGGGCAGGCTTCCAGTCCGACCCAGCCCTTCTGCGTCTTTGGCCGCTCGGGACAGGAGGGCTGCTCTCTGGCAGAAAGAGCAGTAGACAGCACATCAGAAGACTGGGCTCTGGTTGCAGCCAAGCCACAAACTTACTGTGACCATCAGCGAGTTATTCCATTTTCTGGGCTGAAGTTGCATCCCCTGTAAAATGAAAGGGCGTAACTAAATGCCCTCTAAATTCTCTTCTCCAGCTCCCAAACCCCGCATTTTCATTTCGCTTGGCTCAAACAGGTAGAGCTTACTTTCGCTGGCCCCTATTTTGCTCAAGAAGATGATGGTGGTCCGCGGAATCAAATGCTCTGGAGCAGACGAGAATGAGCTCTGAGGAAGAAACTCTCAGACTAGTCAGCAAAGAACAGCAGCTGAGAGGGACCCCAGGTGGGGACATTTTAGGGAAAGAAATCTAGAAAGGTCAGGAAGGTACACCACCATCTGGATAGCAGGTCTGGGAGTGTAACTCCACGGGCTGGGAAACCAGAAAAGGTGGGGATGCCCCAGGGCCGGAGGAAGAGAAGGAGGGCTGATAAAAGAGAACTGGCAGAAAGTTCTGTATGCATTAGGGTGTTCCTAGTCTTGGGGTGCGTGTGTGTGAGTGCATGCGCATGCATGCACAGGGGCATATAAATACATTCCCTCTGAGAGAAAGACCTCTCTCCTCCCCATTTTCGATTGAAAGTGTTCTTTGAAGAGCTTCATGTTCTGCCTCTGAGAGATCCCCCTCTTTTATCTCCTGGATGTTTGTGGAATTTACAAGGGGAGAGCAGGCTGGAGCAGCCTGGAGGTGACTTCCAAAACAGACTATCCTTTGCCTCACGGAGTTTAATAGGGGTCATGCAACTGCCACCATTCCTATCAAAGCCTGGAGGCTCCGCGTGGCGGCCGCCGCACTTCTCCTGGGTGCTATGGCCCTGGCTGGGAAGAAGGCAGCAAATTCACAGCAGGGCTCTGGTCTGCGTCCGCCTGAGCCTGCTGCTCCCACTGGGCGCCTCCCTGAGGACCCCATTACCCCTGGGATGGCTGCACCGGCTCCTGGACCCGCTGAAGGGAACAAAGCACTCTCCAGTGTCCTCCTGCTCTTTTAGAGAGCTGCTGACCCCTTTCGGGCAAAATGCTCTCCCTTCCCCTCAGCAGGGCCCCAGCAGCACGGGCTGACCGCCAGGGGCCTCAGCCCAGCCTCCCTCGCTGCCCGGCAGCCCCTCCCTTCCACAGAGCCAAGCTAAAGAGAGGATGGGATAAGGCAGAAGACAGCGTGCCCGTAGCAACTCAGCCTCTCTGGGACTCATTTTACTGGGCTAGTCGGTGCGGGCAATG